CAATCCACTCACCTCAGCCTCCCAAAGACGCGGGATTGCAGGCTGAGCCACTGAGCCCGGCTTTTTTTTTTTTTTTTTGAGTTGGAGTCTCACTCTGTCGTCCAGACTGGAGTGCACTGTGGCATGCTCCCGGCCACCACGGCCTCGACCAGCTAGGCTCTGGCGATCCTTCCGCCTCAGCCTTCCAAGTAACTGGAACTACAGGGGTGCGCTATCATGCCCGGCTAATTTTTAAAATTTATTGTAGAGATGAGGTCTCACCAAGCTGCCAGGTGGGTCTCGGAAGCTTTTACTCCTTCAATGCACAGTGCAATGGTCTTCGCCTAGTCCCTTCTCCCTTTGGTGAACACCGACTCAAAGTGCCACCAAGTCAAGGAAATCTTCCCTCATTACTCTAAAATAGAATTAGTAAAACTCCCATCAATGGATTGAGAAGCTTTAGTACAGTAGTTTTATGGATGAGATTAATACAAGATTTAACATATTAAGAGAGGGCTCTATCTACTTGAAAGTCAATTTCCGGGATTTGGAATGGGAATAGGAAAAAGTAGACTAAGTGTTCAACTAATTTAATTTGTATGCATGATAGAATCCATGCAAACTCAAAGACTCAAAATAAACAGAATAATTAGTACACAGTTTAAGGCTAATTAGGTGATTAGTATCAATTTTAATCAATGGTGATTAAGCTGAACCTTCATTCAATTTGTCAAAGCTGAGGGTCCAGAACATCAGTCAAGAATGTTGATTTAAAGTGTTCTTTGCCAAGCACAGTGGCACGCACCTGGAATCCAGCTACTCTGGAGACTGAGGCAAGAGGATTGTTTGAGGCAAAGAGTTCGAGTTCAATCTGGGCAACTTATTAAGATCTCTTCTTTTTTTTTTTTTTTTTTGAGTTGGAGTCTCACTATGTCACCCAGACTGGAGTGCAGTGGCCGCTCCCGGCCACCGCAGCCTCGACCTGCTGGGCTCCGGCGATCCTTCCGCCTCAGCCTTCCAAGTAGCCGGAATTACAGGCACGCACTACCACGACTGGCTAATTTTTTGATTTATTGTAGAGATGAGGTCTCGCCTGCCCAGGCGGGTCTCGAACCCGCGGGCTCAGGCAATTCACTCACCTCAGCCTCCCAAAGGCGCCGAATTACAGGCTGAGCCACCGAGCCCGGCTAACATCTCTCTCTCTCTCTTTTTTTTTTTTTTTTTGAGTTGGAGTCTTACTCTGTCACCCAGACTGGAGTGCAGTGGCCACTCCCGGCCACCGCAGCGTCGACCTGCTGGGCTCCGGCGATCCTTCCACCTCAGCCTTCCAAATAGCTGGAACTACAGGCGCGCGCTACCACGCCCAGCTAATTTTTGATTTTATTGTAGAGATGAGGGCTCACCAAGTTGCCCAGGCGGGTCTCGAACCCTCGGGCTCAGGCAATTCACTCACCTCAGCTTCCCAAAGTGCTGGGATTACAGGCTGAGCCACCGAGCCTGGCTAGGATCTCTTCTTAAAGAGACTGTTTTTACTGATTCATAAAGTTCTATGTGTTCTGTAGATTAAGGGAATGGGGGTTGGTTTAGTGTGGTGGGGCATGAGGCAGGGGTTTTTGAAGCTTTTCTCATTTTGCTTTACAACACAAGAACAGATGCTCCACCAAGGCTCGGATTTCTGTGTTTCTACATCCTGGAAAATTGCCTGGCACATAGTAGGCGTAGGGTTGCCAGAAAATAAAAGTACCAGATGCTCAATTCCATTTCATTTTCAGCTAATCAATAAATAGTTTTAAAGGATAAATATGTCCCGTTCGGTATTTGGGACATACTTACAGTGTTGTTTAGCTGACATTCAAATGTCACTGGGTGTCTTGCGTTTCATCTGGCAACCCTCCTAAAAAGCTCAATAAATATTTGTTGACTTCGTTAATTGAAGGTCTCATTTCACCTGTAAAATGGGGCCAGTCACTGTCCCCGCCTCCAAGGGTTGATGGGCGGAGTAAACGAACACTCAGAGACCACTTCATTTACATGATCGCCCGGAGACCGCCCAGTGAGCAGAAAACTCTTCCACTTTTAAACACCCAGGCGGTGACAAGGCCCGCTCTAGGCCAAGGGTTCCCAGGCCGGGCCTAGGTAGCCCGCACCTGCGAGTCCGGCCAGCCTCTTCCGGGTCAGGTGACCGCGCGCGGTCACGTGACCCGGCCCGAGTGCGGGCGGTGGAAGGCGGAAGTGGGAGAGGAGTTAGGCACCGCTTCTGTGGCCGCGGCAGGTAGCGAGCGCCGGCGCCGGGGGCGCGTGGCGCGGGCGGGCGGCACGGGGCGGGCCGGGGGCGGCGGGCGGC